TTTTTTTTTACCTGTCCCACTATTTGGGGACATAAATTATTTATTTATGCTTCAGTTTTGTGTTCAGTTTCCTTTTCAGCCCGCTCTGTTTGTCAGGGAATCATGGAATGGTTGGGGTTGGAAGGGATTTTAAGGATCATTTTTTTCCACCCTTTGCCATGAGCAGGGACATTTTCCATTATCCCAGCTTGCTCCAAACCCTGTCCAACTTATCCTTGGGCACTTCCCCAGCCTCTCCATCCCTCTCTGGTGTCAGGTTCCTGTCAGGAAGCACAAGGGATGCTCCAGGAGCATCTCCAGAACCCCTTTTCTTTATGGCCTTGGTGTTTTCTCTCTGAGAATCCCGTGGCCAGTCCCTGTCTCTGGAGATCTCGGCTCTGTTCTGCAGTCAGGGAGCTCCTGAGGTGTTTCCACACTTTCCCTGCTGGTTTATTTTGAGTTATAACCAGGAACCCTCTGTGTGTTCTGTTTGAAACCCTGCTCAGGTATCTCTGTGCTCTGAATTGGATGATTCTGCCCCAGGGGTGGCTCCTCTCTCTGGAGGGACCTTCCAGCCCTGCTTTGAACAGGGCAGGATTCATGGAAATGTTTTCATGGGATCTCGGGAGGAGAAAGGCACTCTGGCCATGGCTGAGGGGATGTGAATACATTTATCACCAAGAGCTCCTCGTTTGTTGTGCTTTTTCATGTTCAAAAATAAGTTTGCAGCTCTGCCTTCCTTTAGAAAATTTTTTGCTATGTGCCAAGTGCCCAGACCTGGATTTAATTCCCAAATTCACTCATGGAAATGGTTGGGCACTGCCCTGCTGTACAAAAGGAGGGTCCCTGTGCCCTGAGCACACACCTGATCCAGATCTCAGGAAGAGAAGGGCACTCTGGCCATGTCTGAGGGGATGTGAATACATTCATCACCAACAGCTCCTCATCTGTTGTGTTTTTCATGTTCAAAATAAGTTTGCAGCTCTGCCTTCCTTTAAAAATATCCTGCTGTATCCCAAGTGCCCAAATGTGGGTTTTATTCCAAAATACACTCGTGGAAATGGTTGGACACTGCCCTGTGCCCTGAGCACACACCTGATCCAGGATGGTAAAGAGGTTTTTAAAGTGATGCCACTTCAATTCCAGCGGTTTTGAGACCCTGAATTCTAAACAACATCAAAACTGCGACAGAAACTCGGAGCTGCTGGAGCCTGCAGCATCCCAAAGGGCCCTGCACATCCCTCAGGTGTTGGAGTATGGAGGGATTGGAGTGGCAGGGTCTGGAATTAGCCATGGTTACAGTCCCTGGGATTATTGGATGGATTTTGGGTACAGGACCAACATTTCCACGTGCTGCCAGTGCTTGTGTGGATGCCCACGGCAGCAGCAAGGTCGAGCCTTTTCTCCCTGAGAGCCCTGACAGCACCAGGTAAAACAGGAAATGTGCTTGGATTACAAGAGAATCTTTCCAAACGTGCTCAAAACCTTTGCCTCAGGCACCTCCACTTTGTTTCCACTCATTTTCCTTCATTTTCGTGGACGTTTCCCCCTGGTAGTGATAAGCCAGGTCTTTTTCTTCCTCCAGTTGTTGCAACCCTGTTGCTATGGCTACTTAACCCACTTTTTGTTCCTGCTAGGAGGCACGAGGAGAAAATCACTCCCCAAACTTCCCCCCTGCTTGCCACAACAAAATTTTCCTCAGGAATTTTGTGCTGGTGACCTGTGAGAAATGGAGAGCTTGGAGCAGCTCCTTCCTGGTGGATGCTGAACGGCAGAGCTGAGAGGCACTGATGAGCGCTGCTTTCAGCCTGGCGCTCCTCATTTAAAAGGATCTTCTGGAGAGCTTTAAGTGCCTGTAAATTTTTTAAGCACGGAGGAAAAGCAAGCCCTGGATTCCTTTGAAGATGCTGCAGAAAAAAAAATATCCCTCCATAGGAGATGGAGTTGTTGGAGGGAGAGGGAGCTGAGGAGGAAGGAAAACCCAAGAGGAGATGTTTGCATTTCATGAGCACTTTCTGTAAGAAGTTGGAGCAATCAGCAGGGACTGGGGAGGATAAGGAGTTTTTTCCCTTCAAAAGAGAAGCAAAACCAATTCCCCAAAGTGACAAATTAAATGAGATTTGGGCCTCATTTTCCAGGCTGTGGAGGAGTGTAAGGCCAGAGATCACAGAATGGTTTGGATTGGCAGGAACCTTACAGATCATCTGGTTCCACCTCCTGCCATGGGCAGGGACAGCCTTGGACACTTCCAGGGATGCAGGGGCAGCCACAGCTTCCCTGGGAAAACTTGAATTCACTTCCCAAACCCCAAACTTGATGTTCTAGCTCACCCCAAGCACAGTGAGCTTTTATTCCCCTTTCAACCTTGATTTAAAGACTCAAAGTCACTAAAAGCCCATCCCTGATCTGTAGCTCCGCAGTTTTGATGATGAATTTGCTTTACTACCAAAATAAACCCCACCATGTCCAGATTTGAATTTTTCCAGCTCAAACAACTCTTCACAACCCTCACAAGAGTTGTTCTGCGGTGCAAGCCAGGGGAAGAGGCAGGTTTGATAGTGATGACAGCTGAAATCTCAGCTTTGGCATGCAGTGGTTTGGTTTCCATACACAGAAACCTTGTGAGCTTGCCCTGGCCATAACTCTCAAGATTTTTGGTGCCTCTTTTCTCCCTTTTTGTGCCTTCTTTGTGCTCAGAAAGATTCCAGTTGAGCAAATGTGGTTTTTTCAGGAGAAAAAGCTGAGTGTGTGAGGATGTTGATGCAGGTCAGCTCTCAGGAGGCTTTTGGGGCTCAGGGATTGAGGCATGAGGGGCTCTCCCCTGCTGCTCAGGAGGTTTTTCCTGCTCTGCAGAAAAGGTTTTGAGTGATGCAGGGGATGGGGATGGCAGCAGGGAGGTGGAAATTCAGCTGGATTTGTGCTGTGAATTAAAAGGACCCAAAAAACCCTTGCAGTTTAACCCAGGAAGAGATTAAACTTCAGTTCATCAGGTGTTTTTTATGGCTCTGCTAACCTCGGTGGCAGGGAGCCAGAAGATTTCACTACTGCCAGCAAGAAAACAACACCAAACAAATGAAAACCAGCAATGAAATCCTTGTTTTTACCACTGAACTCTGCAAAGATGAGGGGAGAAATTGCTACAAGCCTGTTTGATGCTTTAAAGCCAGGGCACTGCGGTGTTTAGCATCTTTCCATAAAGTTTAGTTCATGTTTCTGACCTGAGGACAGAAAGGGGTCAGAGTTGAGAATTCTGGGGTTTTGGGGAGAGTTCAGGAGGGGTTTTAAAACTGGGGGAAGATGGAGTGTGCTTCAGGGGGAGTAAAGGGAATTTGGGGATGGAAATGGCGCAGAGGGTGCTGTGGGAAGGAGGTGAGGCTGTGTTCTTACTGAGCATGGCTGTCTGCTGGAAATTGGGTGAATTCTGACCTCTGTTCCCCTCTTGCTGCCCACAGTGTGCCAGATCCTCCCCAAAGGCGTGGTGGGAGTCCTGGGACCTTCCTCCAGCCCAGCCTCCAGCTCCATCATCAGCAACATCTGTGGGGAGAAGGAGGTGAGTGGGAAATCCCTTTGTGATGTCAGCGTGGTTCATCCTCCTCCTCCTAATGCACAGACATTTGAAATGTCCCCTTTTTCCCTCTGCTGCCTCTTTCTGCCTCCCTTTTCCTCTCTGCACCCCCTTTTGCTCCTCACATTCACCCCCACATCCCCACTGAGGGCTGCACAGCCCAAAGCTCACCCTGCTGGATGCAAACCCAAATCTCCTGCTGTGGCTTTGTGCACATTCCTGGGGAGCTTTATGTTTACTGCTCTTCCATCCAGTTCAACCTCTTTTTTTATCTCTGTCCAGGCTATGTGCTGGATTTAATATTTTATAAGCCCTGAACCTTCCTACACGGATCTGGCTCTGCACTCTGGAGAAGAAATTGAGTTTTCTTCTCACAGTTCATCCCTTTAAAGGCAGATAACATCTCTCAGCCATTTAGTGGCTCTCTCTGGAGCTCAGCCTTCCAACAGAGGAGGCTGGCACTGAGCACTGTAAATAATTTGCATTCACAAATGAGTGCTGGTTTGCAATACAACACTGGTTGTTGTTCCTGGAGGGTGGAAGGGATGGAGGGAAGGGATCCTCCAGCCCTGAAGCACGGGGCTGCAGCAGGAGGGGTCTCCTGGGGGTGTTTTGTAGCGTTTTCTCTCGCTAAATGCCCTGGACTTGTTCTCCATGCCAGGAAAGGCAACTCTGCAAGTGGTTTTACTCTGAAATTCAGATTCATTCTGAGTCTCTGAACTGAGGCTCCTGATTTTTTTTTTTTTTTTTCTTCAGGAAGGACAGGTGAGTGCTGGTGCCCTCCTGAGGTGTTTGGTGCTCTCCATGAGATGCAAACCTGCAGGAATTCTGTGGGATTTCCATCCCTGGAGCATCAGCTGGGGCACAGAGCCCCCTGTGCCTGCAGCCACCCCTCGGGGACAGGGAGCAGTGTCCCCAGGCAAGCACTGGAGGGACTGATGTTCTGAGGGATGAATCTGTCCTATGTTACCCCTCTCATGCCCAAAGAATGTCCAAAAAGGGGAATTGCTCTGGGGCAGAGCTCCTGGACAGGAGAGGAGGGTTCCTGGGGCTGGAGATGAACAGCCCCACTGTGTTTTGTGGATTCCATCCACACAAGAATCCCTTTCCTTTCCCCTGTCCCAAAAGGGGAATTGCACTGGGACAGAGCTCCTGGAAAGGGGACAAGTGTTCATGGGGATGGAGGCAGGGCTGAACAGGCTGTGCTCAGCCCTGATGTGTTTTGTGGATTCCTTCCACACAAGAATCCCTTTCCCCCATTCCTTAAAGGGGAATTGCACTGGGACAGAGCTCCTGGAAAGGGGACAAGGGTTCCTGGGATGAAGGCAGGGGCTGAACAGGGCTGTGCTCAGCCCTGATGTGTTTTGTGGATTCCTTCCACACAAGAATCCCTTTCCCCATGTCCAGAAAGGGGAATTGCAGTGGGACAGAGCTCCTGGACAGGAGAGGAGGGTTCCTGGGATGAAGGCAGGGCTGAACAGGCTGTGCTCAGCCCTGGTGTGTTTTGTGGATTCCTTCCACACAAGAATCCCTTTCCCCATGTCCAGAAAGGGGAATTGCAGTGGGACAGAGCTCCTGGGCAGGAGAGGAGGGTTCCTGGGTATGAAGGCAGGGGCTGAACGCTGAGCAGTGGTGGATTCCTTCCCCTGTCTCTGCATCTCTGAGCCCCAGGCTGGTGTGGATCCCTCCCAGCAGTGATCAGGAGCTGCCTGGAGCTGCCCTGTCTGCTCTGGTTATGGAAATCCACCTTCCCCTCCTGGCTGAGGGCTGCGGGCTGGAATCAAGGCGGATAGCAGCTTATTACTCCTTAACTTCTCCCTGCTAAGCAGCAGCTCCTGCTGTCACTAAAGCAGCCTTGAGGAGCTGCTAATGGGCTCTCCCAGGAGGGGAGAGGAGGGAGCCAGGGGCTGATGGCTTCCGAAGGAGGCGCAGAGGACCTGACACGCTGCTAACAAAGCTGTGGCAGATGTTTCCCTTCCTCCGACTTCTGCTTCTTCCAGAATAATTCACCTGGCAGGAGGAAAACAAGATTGCCTCTCTTTATCAGGCTGAGCCTGCAATGTCTGGGCTCGGGCTGTGTGTCCGTCCAGCACTCCATCCATGGTCTGTTTTGTATTTGCAGGCAGGAATGATGAGGAGGACTCCAGCTTATCAGAAGGCTAATTAATTACTTTATTATACTATATTATTCGATACTATATTATGTAAGAGTCGAAATGAGGGATGTGGGACTCCAGGGGCTCTTCAAAATGCAGTTTATTGTATCCAAAATGCAGTTTATTGTATCCAAGACATTACAGCAGTCCAGGGTGACAGAGCTGTGCCTACAGCTGTCAGCTCCAGCTGCAGGCAGGCCTGGAGACCCTGAGTTTAGGTTACAATGCATTATAGACTTTTCTTTTGGTGACATTTCATTATATACTTTTCTTTTGGTGATAATACATTCTATTCTTTTCTTTGCTGAGCATCTTCATACAACATAACCAATCTATACCTTAACTTTTACCTGTAGCCTATCATAACTACTGTAATTACCATTTTCATGTCACTGTTCTCCAATCACTAACAGTCAGTACATTACAGTTGAAGCTAGAAGTTGTTTTTCAGTTTTCTTGCAGTGGAAAATTCTGAGACCTTTTTCTACTTGCAACTTTGCTGCCTTGTTTGCCTGTGCTCTCTTTCTGCTTGGTAGAAACATCTTCTTGTTTGGGGTGGGTTTATCCTTTGCTCTAAGCCATAAAAACCCCTTCTAACTAACACACCCTTTGCCTTCTTGGTTATCCAGTGAGATTGGCTCAGCAGGTCTTTTCTTCCATATCAAAACTTGCTTTTATTTCTATTCCTTCTTCAGATTCTACATTCAAAAATCTTTCTGCCAAGCACACATATCTGTGAGACTTTCTTGTCAAACTTTCATCCTTCCCAACAATATTGCACTATATTACATTACATCTAAACTGAATCTGCCAAGCACTCAACTCAACTGCCCAGAATCTCATGACTGTCAGCCCACCGTTCTGACAGACACGTGGCCCTGACAGGCCAAGGAAACAAAACACCATCACTCTGGGTAAATCTCCATATTGCATTCTACTTTGGCACAAACACAGGCACAGCAAATGAGATAAGAATTGGTTTTTTCTTTCTCTGAGGTTCAGAGAATGTGAAACCCAGGAATATTCTTGGGGAGAATCGTGCCTTGCTTTTCTCTGTGAGGAGGAATGTGGCTGCAGCCTGCAGGGTGTGCAGCAGAGCTCCCTCTGAGCAAAATTCCCAAAAATTCCCCTTGGAGCACATCCTGCTCCAGCTGCTGCTCTGCTGCACCCATCCCAAGCCCAGCCCTGGTGCTCCCAGCCCTGTCTGGTCAGAAATGCCCAAAGCTTCTGGCTGCTGTGCTGTTCCTCCCCTGCCCAGCCTCACCAGCACGGGGTCATCTCATTCTTGCCTTCATCTGTGGTGGTGGTCACAGGGGGCTTAGGGTGAGGGAAGAGATGAGGATCTGACTCCATATTTCAGAAGGCTTAATTTATTATTTTATGATATATATTATATTAAAATTATACTAAAAGAATAGAAGAAAAGGTTTTCATCAGAAGGCTGGCTAAGAATAGAATAGAAAGGAATGATAACAAAGGTTTGTGTCTCGGCTCTCTGTCCGAGCCACCTGACTGATTGGCCATTAATTAGAAACAACCACATGAGACCAATCCCAGATGCACCTGTTGCATTCCACAGCAGCAGATAACCATTGTTTGCATTTTGTTCCTGAGGCCTCCCAGCTTCTCAGGAGGAAAAATCCTAAGGAAAGGATTTTTCATAAAAGTTGTCTGTGACATTCATCTGTGCTAATGAATTACCTGGTGGCCCCTCCATGCAGAGGGCAGGGCTGGGTTCAGGGCCCTGGGTGATCCCTGTGTCCCTGCACAGCATCCTCCCCCAGCAAAGGCTGGGCCCAGCCACAATTAGTGCCCCAGCTAATTAGGCTGAGCTCACAGGGAAGGTTTCCTGTGCTGTAATCACAGTCCCTGGTGCCTTTCTCTGAGTGGCTCAGCAAGACTCTTCCTGCTCTGCTCCTTCCCGTGGTTTTTGTTGCTGTGATAATTATTTTCCTCTGCTGCTGCACAAGTCCCACCCTCCCCTCTTGACTCCAGTGCTGCTGCTGCCGTTTTATTGGGATATTCCACTTTCTGCCTGCTGTGTGCTTCACACCACAGGCCCTTCATCACAGATTTACTTGTTTTCATTTCTACTTCCTCTTTAATTATATTTTCTTTCCTCAGGTTCCTCACTTCAAAGTGGCTCCAGAGGAGTTCCTGAAGCTGCAGCTCCAGAGGTTCACCACCCTCAACCTGCACCCCAGCAACACCGACATCAGCGTGGCCGTGGCAGGAATCCTGAATTTCTTTAACTGCACCACTGCCTGCCTCATCTGTGCCAAAGCTGAATGTAAGTCTTGGTTTTCCTGCCCCTCTGCTTCATCTCCTCTTTGTTTGGTCCCAGCTCCTCATGTCTCTCTGCTCAGAGCAGCTTTTCCACTCCAGTTTCTCCACCCTGGTGCCCCATGGAGTGTGGGAATCCACAAAATCAGAGGGTTTTGGGGAAGCTGCAAAAGGCAGGCCTCAGAGGCAGTAGAACTGTGATTAGAGCTAAGCAGCAGCCATGAGATTGGTCAGCAGAAAAATTATTTAAACTGTAGAAAAGCAAGGACAAATAGAACAATGGTCTGTGTATTAATGCTTGTCTGGAATAACTGTCTAAGCTACAGAAAAGTTTATCTAGTGAGAAATTAGGAAGGTTGAAGCTTAATAATGGAGCTCTGTGCATTGTGTTTTAAGGCTTACAAGCAGGTATTGTATCCTAAATAAGCAGGCATTGTTTAACCAAAGGTACATGTGCTTGCAGTGGTTGGATAGAACTACTGTCAATATAGAACATATACTATACAAATATAAATACTGTCAATGTGCTTTTGCTTTGTGGGATGGGTCAAAAACCTTATAAACTAAGTTATAACATAAAATTCTGAGTCTGCTGCCTAGTGTGTGAACTGCTGGCATCTTCCCATTGTCACAGCCATGTAACGAGGCTGATGCTGGAAAATCAAACAGCTCAAGGCAGTTCCACAGCAGCCCCGTCCCATTCGTGGTCTGTAAATAGCCCCCGGCCAGCTTCAATGGAGGAGTTTTTCAGAGGAGGAAAGGGGATAGGTGGAAATGATCCTGCCTTCTGTTTGCCCATCTGAAGAGTGTTTTGCTTCCACAGATGGGGCTTTGGGTAAGAAAAAGAAAAAAAAATTTAAGAAAGGCGTAGGCCTGTTTCTGGAGGTTATTTTTAGGCAAGTAAAGCACTTTGAAATGTGGCTTGCTCAAAGCCGCGTGCAGTTTGTGTGGCCTAAAAGTGGGATTTGAGTAACAGTCAGCACAGAGCATCCTCCTGGGCTCTGCAGCCTGCATCTGCTGGGGACTGTGTGTGTGGACAATGGGCCTTCCACCTCAGCAGGGCCAGATCCATCCCTGCAGGGCCAGATCCACCTCAGCAGGGCCTTCACAACCTCAGCATGGCCATATCTATCCCTGCAGAGCCTTTTCTAGCCCTGCAGGGCCATCTCCACCTGAGCAGAGCCATCTCCTCTTCACCAGGGCCATCTCCACCCTCAGCAGAGCCAGATCCATCCCTGCAGGGCCAGATCCACCTCAGCAGAGCCATCTCCTCCTTAGTAGGGCCAGATCCATCTCAGCATGGCCAGATCCACCTCAGCATGGCCAGATCCACCTTGCCAGGGCCATCTTCACCCTCGGCAGGGCCATCTCCTCCTTGACAGGGCCGGATCCATCTCAGCAGGGCCCGATCCACCTCAGGAGAGCCATCTCCACCCTCACCAGGGCCATCTCCACTTTGACAGGGCCATCTCCTCCTCAGGAGGGCCCGAGCCATCTCAGTAGAGCCATATCCATCCCTACAGGGCCATCTCCTCTTCACCACGGCCCTCTCCACCTCAGCAAGGCCATCTCCAACTGAGCAGGGCCACATCCACTTCGCCAGGGCCATCTTCACCCTCTGCAGGGCCATCTCCTCTTCACCAGGGCCATCTCCACCATTCCAGAGCCATCTCCTCCCTCTCCAGGACCCTCTCTACCTCACCAGGCCTGTCTCCATCCCTACAGAGCTCGTGCTGTGGCAGGAGCAGGCTCAGCATCCCTGATCTTTCTGAGGTCACCATGCAGCGGGTTTGGGGTGGCCACAGCAGCTCTGGGGTTTGGCAGCCACAGCAGCCTGGAAAAGGGGCTTTGGAACCATCCCTGGGTGCAGGGACAGCTTTGGGATTGTGTAGGACACGAAATAAAACAGCACTCAGGCTGGAACCTCCAAGGTAAAAAGAAGAGAAGTTTAATTTCTGACTGCAACATTTATAGATTTCCAAAAGTGACAGTGGATTGGAAGGTGACAGTGCCACCTCTCCAATGACACTGCACAAACCAACAGCCCACCAAATTACAGAAAAAATGTGAAACAATAATTATTCATATAAAACTATGTGAGAAAGTTCATTACTAGGATGTAAACTTAGATTAACTTGGAAGAACAAGGTGACAGGAATGCTGCTCTGTGACTGGCCCAGCACCATTCCCAGTTAGCAAACTCCCCAGCAGCAGCTGATGGAAGATTCCTGCACAGGGACTCAGGGACCAGAAGTGTTTTTAGCTCCTCTTTGTGTTTTCTGTGCCCTAGGGCGGCAGGCTGAGGTGGGTCAGTAAATCACCCTCAGTGAGCAGAGCTCACATCCACCCCAGGAAAGGCCCTGGCTCGAAATGATGCAATTAAAATCATGCAAATGGTCTCCCACATCACTCCCAGAGCTGGAATTTTTCATTGTCTAACCTTAACCTTAAGCAAGAAGGGAAGCAAAGATAATTAGGTTTTCTCAGCTGCCGTGCAGGAGGCTCAGGGCTCTGCACCCCTGCCCTGCTCCTGGGCCAGGAGTCTCCCACCGGAATTAACATGATTAATATGATTTTTATTTAGCTGGATCAAACCCTCTTACCTGAAGCAATCCAATTTATTTCGCTCTGGTGCTGCTGGATAACTCAATATTTAGGATGTGCTGAGTCCTTCCCAGACCCAGGGAAGCAGTGGGACAGGAACCTTTCATCCTCCCAGCTCTTTGTGCTCAGCAAGGAGCTGATCTGAGCCAGGCTTGAAGCCCAACAAGCCCTGACTGTAACAGAGCACAGACAAGGCTTAATTGAGCTTCATGTAGGAGCACAAACCCTGATTTTCCCTTAGGACGTGCACTGCTCCTAAGCTCAGTCCTTAAACAACTAACTGGAGGCATTTCAGGCTTTTGGAAGGTTCCCTTGAGGCAGCTGAGGGGAGCATGAGAGCTGCCTGCTCATCAGTGAGGAAATGCTGCTTTAAGGGATGTTGTTATTATTTAGATCCCAGGAGGGGCAAGCTGGAGCTGCTTTGGTTTAAGTGTGAGGCTGTGATGGGACCCCAGGGTCCTGCCCTGCCACACTCACCCTGTCACATCCTTCCTCTGGGGATTGGATGTGATTTCCCCTGGCAGAAGCAGAAAATGACCCTTAAACTTGGGCCAGCCGAAGTGCAATGCCCTGGGGGATGTAAAATGTAAATGAGATTTGTGTGACTCGGTTTGGTCGATAGAATAAGAGTATCTGACTCAGTTTCTCTGTGGTGTTCAAGAATTAGCTGGTTTGGGAGCTGATCTGGAAGGTTTTGTGTGGTTCCACAGAAATCTTAACCCCAAAAGGCAATTAGAGGAGTGCATGGACTTTTTAGGAGCTTCTGTGATTGCCAGAGGAGAGGGAATAACAGTCAGTGCTTGGGAAGGGTGACCAGGGTAGTGAGGTCCGAGACCTTGTGCACATCCTTGGTCCTTTTTTAAAATTTTTATTTTTAATTCAAGCACCCAGGGAGATGAAGCAATATTTTGGGATTAAAAGCAAAGCTGGATGATGGGAATATTCTTTTCCAGGAGTGGAACCATCAGCAGCCCTGCAGCTCCTGCATCAGCAGGAGCCCTAAACAGGGATGTGTTTTAACTCCAGGACAGCCCCAGCTCCTGCCTTTCCTCCTTCTCAAGAGCAGCTCTGCTGCTGAGAGCTCAGGAGTGAGGCTGCTCCTGCCACCTCTGGATGTTTGCATGAGAAAAAAATCAAATAATCAAGGTCAGGACTTGCCACAGGCCAGCCTGAACCTCTCTCAGAGCTCCCCATGGGAGTGTTGGAGCAGCAGGTGCCTGGTGCAGCCTCTGTGTGCTCACTTTGGTACTTCAAAGGTGCCAGGAGGAGTCTGCGAGCCTTTGTGGGGTTCACATCCCTCTGAAGTGCCAGTCTGGCAGCAGCAGCAGCGAGAGTCTCACATCCTCTCAGCATCAAACAAAGGGGAATCTCTGCACAATAGAGACTTCCCTGCACACAGCAAGAGCAGCTGCAAGCAGGAGGCTGGATGAGGCCACAGGTAGGATCTAATGTGCTGGAAATGGTAATTTCCTCCAGCTGAAGGTGGAGATCAAATAATTCCTTTTTTTAAAATATTTTTTTTATTCTCCTAGTTCCACTTCTTCCTCTCTGTGCCTGATGAGCTTTAGAAAAAAAATTCCTGGGTTTCACAGCAGCAGAGTTTGCTGGGATGAGCTGCAAGCAAACTTGGTAGTGTCAGGGCTGTGATTTCCAGCAGCCCTGTCTGGCCCCCTGCAGATGTGGAATGAGGTGAAAATAAACCCTTCCACATCCTCAAGGGTCAAAAGGAGGGCTTAGGAAAAACTGTTCACCTGGGTTAGAAGACAGAAGAAGTGTTCAGGTGAGGTCCTGGTGTGCTGTGGGCAGAGTGAGTTCTCTGCCTGGTGAGGAAGAAGAAGGAGCTGATGTGACCCAGAAAAGTCCTGGCACAGCTGGTTTATAACCCCTTATAACTCCTACGCGCACCCAGAGAACAGGGGAGAGGCAAGGGCATTGCCAGGAGCTCAGAGCAAGCTCAGAGTGCTTTAAACCTCTCCCTGGGAAGGAGAGGCTCCTCATCTTGGACATGCCTCTTTTCCTGCTGTGCTTTGTTCCCTGGTGAAGTCCTTGAGAGCAGAGCTCCAGCACTGATCCCACCCCACTGTGACCCTCTGCTGCCTCCTGACCTGCTGGGGAATGAGTGGATTCGTGCAGTCAGAAATAAGTCAGGTTAAGAGTAAAGCTCTGACTGGAGGGTTAATTTGCCTTTCTGGCAGCTGGGCTGTGATCCTGCTGATGGTTCTGTTTCTCCAGCTCTGTTTCCCCCCTCTTTTGGGGTTGTCTTCCTGAGGGGATGGGATGTGTGGCTATGCTGTCTGTGTCGTGCTGATGAATCCATCTGCTGGTTCCTCTGGTCAATCAAACTTGGCAGGAGGTGATTTCTTGATGAAACTCAGCAGCTGGAGACAAGAGAGGCTCTATCAAAGCTGCTTTCTTGACTAACAAAATCTGCAGCAGGAGTTTTGACATCTTATTAGGCTTCAAGGCAGCTGTGTTGGAAGGAGCCCTTGACGTGCCCATCCTTATTTTTGTCACGATTTTTTAATGTTGTACTTTTGCAGTGACCTCCAGCTCTCAGCAGAGCTTCTCATCCCGTTGGAAGAGAGCAGCTACCCCATCAGAGTGCTCCAAGAGCTCCAAAAAAGCTGCACTTTCCTGGGCATTCAGTTTGGGAGCTGGAAATGCAATGAGAGGGGAGGAATAATTCTCCAGTAATTCAGAACAATCCCAAATGCAGGGAGATAATGGAGACCTTGTCTGGACCTTGTATTGAGGGTCCTGTCTCTTCCCAAGAGGGGTTTGGGAGCACTTTCTTTTCCTGGAGAAGAGCTGGAGTAGCTCCATCACTTCTCCTTCCCTGCTGGACCAAGCAATGACTCCTAAATCCTTTCCACTTTCTTTTTTTTCTGGGGAGCAGCTGAAATAGTTTTATTATTTCTCATTCCCTCCTGGACCCAGAGCTGAGCCCCAAATCATTTTTTTCCACTCCCTTTATCTGTGGAGCAGATGGAATAGCTCCATCATTTCTCATTCCCTGCTGGACCCAGATTTGAGCCCCAAATCCTTTCCTTTTCTCTCCCTTTTTCTGAGGAACATTTGGAGTAACTCCAATATTTCTCATTCCATGCTGGACCCAGAACTGAGCCTCAAATCCTTTTCTTACCCTCCCTCTTTCTGGGGAACAGCTGAAATAACTGGAAATATAATAACTCCATTATTTTTCATTCCCTGCTGAACCAATCACTGAATCTCCTTTGCAGTGCCCAGAGCCAGAACTTCAGGAACGCGTCCTGCCATGGATCACCGTGTCCCATGGGAGAACCAAGCCCCAAACTCACAGGGCTCCGTCCTTTTTCTCTCTTTGCTCCCAAGGCCTTTTGAACCTGGAGAAGCTGCTGCGGCAGTTCCTCATCTCCAAGGACACGCTGTCGGTGCGGATGCTGGACGACAGCCGGGACCCCACGCCGCTCCTGAAGGAGATCCGGGATGACAAGACAGCCACCATCATCGTCCATGCCAACGCCTCCATGTCCCACACCATCCTGCAGAAGGTGAGCAAGGATTTCTGCTGGGGAAGGCAGTGAGAAAGTGCAGAGATGGAGATGTGAATTATTTTCTCTTTACTTGGTGCTCCTATTGTTGGCACATGTGGAATATGTTATGGAGATTGCTTACCCAAAAGGGTTTGTTAATTGGACTCTGGTGATGGTTGTTGATATTGATTGACCAATTAAAAAACAGTCAAAGCCACCATCATTGTCCATGCCAATGCCACCATCCTGCAGAAGGGGAGATGCACAGGGAGCAGCTTGCCCAAGGATTTCTCCTGGGGGAGGCAGTGAGAAAGCTCAGAGATACAGATATGTTTTATTTCCTCTTGACTTGCACACGTGGAATGTGTTATGGAGATTGTTTACCCAAACAGATTTGTTAATTGGGCACTGGTGATGGTTGTTGATATTGATTGACCAATTAATACACAGTCAAAGCTGTGGTGTGACTGTTGGAGACAGTCATGGGTTTTTCTTTATTATCTGTTTTGTATTATATAGTTCTAATATAGAACCCTAATATAATATAGAATAGCCAAAAAAAAAACAAAGCAATTGTTCAGCTGTCTGAATCATTTGGAGTCAGAGTAAATTATTCCTGCCTTGGGGTCACCTTGCATCAATAGTGAGTATCCCTCCCCTGTCCTTTGGGGTGCTGCTGCTCCCCCAGCCAGCTCCTGTGGGTTATTGTGATGCCTTGTAAGGCTGGACAGAGCTAAAGAATAAAGCGGGGATTTATTAAAAGGCCTCAATGGATGCACCTTGGGCTACACCCAAGATGAACCAAAATGGCCCCAAAATGAACCCAAGATGACCCAAAATGGCTCCAAAATGCACGAGCATTCCCGGGGTCTCTCCCTGGGATCAGTTCTGCTCCATTTGCACCTTGCAGTTCATTGTCCCATTCCAGCTTTAGCCCCTGCAGTCCCACCCTGCTTGTTTTTCTCTCTCCAGCCCACGGTGTTTGTGCTCCTGGGCTGAGATTGGGATCATTTGTCCTTGGTGCCCAGCTGGAGCAGGAATTGTTTTGTCTCCCTGCTCTGTGCACAGAGCTCACCATGCCCTCATGTGAAACCCAGAACTGCACACCTAGGCAGCACAGAACCTGAAAAATATGAAAGCTAAAATTTAAGGCATCAATTGAAATGTGAAAATTCCCACAGCAGCGCTGGGAATTGGCTCTGCCCAGAGGGGAATTGCCGTTGATGGGATTTCCAGGGCTGGCTCTGTGCAAGCGGTGGTTGAATTGCTCTGAGGGGATGTGTTTGCTCTCCACAAGTGGTGTTGCCATCCAGGAGCTGTGAAGGACTGGACTGCTCAGCTCTGAAATGACTCTTGTGCCTCCTTTTTCTCCTCCCATTAGGTGTCTAACTTTTTCCTTCCTTTTCTTTTTATTGTCTTATTAACCGAGATTTTATTTTAATCCTGTTTATTTTTAAATGGTCTCTGGCTGCAGTTTCTAGTGCTTGTTTTGATAGCCTGCTTCAAAACTGAGCAGTGGCTCCAGATGGAGCAGAGTTTCTCACATCCTGGAGGGAACAAGAAGCACATTCCTGAAGGGAGGCAGGATCTAGGCTCTGGGATCCCCCTGGCTTTCCACCCTGTCCTGGCTCTTTTGTCGCAGAATTTGTCATCCAAAGGCCTTGCCTGTGCCAGATTTACCCTTGATAGCATCCAGCAGGGATGCTTTTATCATTCATCTCTCCCCTCAGAATTTTTTATTCTACAGCATGCAGTTTTCATTTCTAAATAGACATTTTGGGGGATTTTTGGGGCTGTCTACTCAGAGGGGTTTTTTGTGTGTTTTTTTCCCCCTTTTTCCCCTGTTGCTGCCTGGCTGCTCAGGGCTGTCCCCCTCCTCTGTTGCTATAGTGACTTCCCACAGGCTCCCAGCAGCTCTCTCCAGGCACCCACACCTCCCTGCCCGGCTCCAGCCTCCTCCAGCCACCCCTGAGAAATGCCAGGAATTGCCAGCATTTCCCAGTTAAACCCAGTTCTTCCAGCTAGAGGGCTCTAGAAATGGAGGGAAATAAATAAAGAATGAGAATCTGGCAACTTCTTGCACCTTGGGAGGCTGGGAGGTGTTTTATTGGGATGGTGGTGCTGAGCATCAGGTGGATCCATGTCCTATCCCACAGCAGGAATTTGGGTTTGCTGGGTCTGTCCCAGGAGAGCAGCCTTGCACAATAAGAGGAATCCCCAATTTCTCATCTCCCACCCTCCACAGATGGGCTGGGGACACATGGATGGTTCCCAGATCCCCAACTCCCAGCTGCCAGGTGAATGGATGGGAATGGATTTGCTGCTCACTTTCATTTCCTACCCTTGAAACCAAACCTCTGACCTCAGAGTGGGTCACAGGGAGGGCTGGCATTGTCACTGTCCCCAGGAAGGGATGAGCAGGGGGAATTGGTGCCCATTGAGTTGATTTTCTACCCTTGAAACCAAACCTCTGACCTCAGAGTGGGTCACAGGGAGAGCTGGCATTGTCACTGTCCCCAGGAAGGGATGAGCAGGGGGAATTGGTGCCCATTGAGTTGATTTCCTACCCTTGAAACCAAACCTCTGACCTCAGAGTGGGTCACAGGGAGGGCTGGCATTGTCACTGTCCCCAGGAAGGGATGAACAGGGGGAATTGGTGGCAATTGAATTGATTTCCTACCCTTGAAACCAAACCTCTGACCTCAGAGTGGGTCACAGGGAGAGCTGGCATTGTCACTGTCCCCAGGAAGGGATGAGCAGGGGGAATTTGGGCTAAATTTTGCTGTGGAGGGGGTGAAAAATAAGGGGGCAAACGGCTTTGCTGTGTCTGTTGTGTCACCTGGGTGAGGGACAGGGCGACAATGCCCAGCCAGGCTGAGCACAGTGGTGGTGGCCTCAGCTTTGCACTGGAACAGCTAAAAGACAGGAAAAATGAAAGGTGCAATCCCAGCTGCCTCTTTCTGTCTTTCCTTCCCTCACTTTTTGCTGTCACAGCTTCTGGGAGGGATCAGAGGGGCTCACACCAGGAGTGAGGTGCTTTGGTCCTTCCCTCCTTGCCTCCCATTGCTCTGTGTGGTCTGCACTGCTGGGAAAACCTCTCTGCCCGGCTCTGGGAGCTCGATTTGAGAGCAGCTGTGCTTGGCAGAGGAACAGAGGCTTCCAGGAGCATCTGCAGATTGATGCCCCACTTTCCTGAGCATCTGTTCCCACAACCAGCTCCTTGTGCCGTGAGAATTTTGGGAAAGGCCTTCAGTTATCTGCTCTGTGATCTCTAGAACAGATCATCCCCGTGGAACATTCTGTGTCCTTCTCTCTGCATCCCTGGACAGTTCTGCCCTGTTTTCTTCTGTTTCTGTGGCCAGCACAGCCCTGCCTCAGTTCTGGAGAGCAGCCTGAGTTACTGGGTCTCATCCATGCTCATTAATTTGTGGGATTTGAGCCCAAATCTGGCTGATAAAACTGGAAAGCCACCAGTGGCTTGATTGTCCATTCCCTGCAACTCCCAGGAGCTTTTCCTGCCTCTCTCTCTCCATCATGGTGTTTGTGGTGGAAGGGACAAGCCTGGAGCTCTCAGCTGCTCTTTTCCCTTGTTATACCCCAAAACAGGAGCAAAGCAGCATCCACACACAAAATAAGCAGAAATCCTATTTTCCTCTAAAACCATCATGGAATTCCTCATTCCAGGGGGTTCTGAAGCTCTCAGGACTGGGGCTGCAGGACCCATTTCACCTTTCCAGACCATTGAGGGCCACTGGGGTCTGTAAAAAGCTTTTCTGCTGGAGTTTAGAAGCTTCTGCTTTCCACAGGTGATTTCCTTAGAGTTGACCTTGGAAGGATGCAGGAATCCCTGAATTCCCTGTCAGAATGCCATGGGGAGAGCAGGGATGCTCCCAGGGGTCTGAAGCTGGGTCATTTCCCTCTGTCAGGGCTGGAGTGGGCAGGAGATCTCAGCTAGACTCAATCCTGGTGAAAAATTCCTTCCCCAAATTTAATTTCCCAGGTCCAGCCGTGCTGCTGTGTCCCACCCTCCCTTCCTGCAAGGAGAGATAAGCCTGGAAAAGCAAAATGTGGCCCCGGCTCTGCCTTGCTGGAGTGGAGATTGGAGATTGTCGGGCTCTGGTTTAATCTTTTTTTCCTCTCCTTCACAGGCAGCTGAACTGGGGATGGCATCTGCCTATTACACCTATATCTTCACTAATCTGGTAAGGAGTTTTTCCCAGCTTTTCCTGCCTGAGTGTGGAGTCATTTTAATGGGAGCTGATCCCCCTGACCCGTGGGCAGAGCCTTGTGTGCTGGGGAGGGAGGGAGTGAGGCAGGGATGTCACCTGCTGCTAGAATCAAAAGGCAAAATCTTTCCAAATAATATAAAAAAAAAAAATAATTTCCTAAAGCAGTTCTGTAACAAAAGCTTGCTGTGCACACGTGGTATTGGATTTCTGCAGTTTTTATCAGGTTAATTAATTAGTTCATCTAACAGGTACATCCAACAAGAGACCAGTTGCCCCAGCAACCAACCCTTGGGTCTGCCCCTTGGAGTTGTTCTGTGTCTTGTTACATCTCTTAAATTCTGGTTCAAAACAAGATGTCCTCGTTAGAAATTCCTGTTGTTAAAATCAGGCTAACCAGAACCTTAAGAATGTGTTAGGAAGGGTTGGCTCATTGTTCTAACATGTGAGAAAGGGCAGGAATATCACCAGAAACTCTACAATTACATATTTAAAAGCTACGATGCTACAAGTAGAAGAAAAATATATAAAAAGCTGAAAAAATATATAAAAAGCTAAAAAAATCTTCAATCCTGCAAAGTTGGGAAAGTCTTGGGGAGGTGGAAAACGATTGGTGCAGCATCCAAAGGCAGGAATTGGGGACATTGTGACAGGAGCTGGGGCAATGACATGTGCAGGAGTTTGGGAAGCTCCAGCAGGTGGGTGGATCCTGATTGTCCTGGTTTTCCTGGTTCTCCTGGTTGTCCTGATTTTCCAGATATTCCTGGTTGTCCTGGTTTGTTTTCCTGATTTTCCAGATTTTCCTGGTTTGTTTTCCTGATTTTCCTGGTTGTCCTGATTGTCCTGATTTTCGTGATTTTTCTGGTTGTCCTGATTTTCCAGATTTTCTTGATTTTTTGGGGTTATGTTGGTGTTGTCCCTCTGTCCCTTATCCCATTCCCTGTGTTGGAAAAGTCCAGGGATGAGCACCTGGAAGGCATCAGAGCCCTGAGACAAAGGAAGGATGATCCATAAATGTTGAGAGCAGGGGATGGTTTGGCTTTATGGCCACAAATAACATTAATGGCATCATGGTGTGGTTAAAGCCCTCAGTGTAAATCCAAAATCAACATCAGAGGAACTTCTCCTCCCTGGAGGGAGGAGGAACCCGGCTGTGAGTGCTGCTGTGGGGCTGATGGAAACCAGGATGGGGGTGAGGTGGAGCTGCCTCCCAGCCCTAATGATTCTCCTATTCTCTAATTTCTATTAATAATTTCTGGCAGGGAAGCTGAGGGAGCTGAATCACACTTTGTGTTTGGGTGGGAGACAGACGGGAAGGGACGGAGCCAAACGTGTGGGCAGGGAGCTGGAGAGG